GTCTGTGTGTACGCGTGCGCGTGTGTGTGTACGTCTGTGTGTGTGTGTGTGTGTGTATGTGTGTGTGTATGTGTGTGTATGTGTACGGTTAAATTGGGGGACTATATTGTGAGGGGGATCAAAATCATGAGCTGCATAGATAAGGTGACTAGCCAAGGTCTTTTCCCCAGGACAGGGGAACCCAAAACTAGAGGGCATTAGTTCATGGCGAGAAGGGAAAGATTTAAAAAGGACCTGAGGAGTAACTTTTTCACGCAAAGGGTGGTGTGCATGTGGAATGAGCTGCCAGAGGAAGTGGTAGAGGCAGATACAATTACAACATTTAAAGGACATTTGGACAGGTACATGTTTAGAAAAGGTTTAAAGGGATATGGGGCAAATGCAGGCAAATAGGACCAGTTCAGTTTAGGAAATTGGTTCAGCATTGATGAGTTGGGCTGAAGGGCCTGTCTCCATGCTGTCTGAATTTGTGAAACTGAAAGATTATTTTCTCCCGTTGATGAATCAATAATGAAGGGCATTGGCCAAGGTTGGGCCTGTACCCACTGAAGTTTAGGAAAATGAGAAGATGACGCATGTTGAAACACACAAGATTCTTAGAGGACTTGACAGGGTAAATGCGGTGAGATTGTTTCGGCTTGTGGGAAAATATAGGACCAGAGAGCATGATCTCAGAATAAAGGGTATCCCATTAAAAGAGAGATGAGGAAGAATATTTTTTCTCTTAGAGGGTGGTGTATCTGTGGAATTTTTTCCCAGTGAGGCCTGTTGAGGCTGTGTCATCGAGTATATTCAAGGCTGAGATCGATTTTTAATCAGTTAGGGAATTAAGTGATAAGAAGAAATGGCAGGAAAGTGGAGTTGAAAATGATTGGATCAGCATGTCTGGCAGCATTTGAGGAGAGAGAAAAGCAGCTAAGGTTTTGAGTCCAATTGACCGTTATTCAAAAGAAATGTCTTCTTCTGAACGTAGGAAGGATTTGGAGGGATCTGGGCAAATGGAACGAGCTCAGGTTAGGATATCCGGTCCTCGCAGACTGAAGGACCTATTTCATGTTATACAACATTGTACAACTCAATGGCTGTATGACTTCTGAAGAAGAGTCATAGCAGACTTGAAACAACTCTCCACAAATGCTGCCAGACCTGCTGAATATTTTCTGTGAAGTTCTGCTGAAGGGTGATTGGACTCAAAATGTTAACCCTGCTTTCTCTTCATTGATGCTGCTGGACCTGCTGAGTTTCTCCAGCTATCTCTGTTATTGTTTTGAACAGCCTTTGTATTTGTTAATTTCTTGTTAAGTCCAGAAAATCACGTCATGTTTTCTATTAACCTGTGTGTATTTTGTGGATTAAATTGGGGACTTTGTATACTTAGGTAACTTTTCTTTAACTTTTGTGATGACTTCTGAAAAAGCAGGGCTTGATTTCCACCACACTGCCCAAGTAATGCAGAACAATTGACAAGGGAGACAAACTGCATGGGGGGAGGGGGCCTGTGGGGGGGAGACAGGCATGTAAAGACCACCATCAGATTATCCACGATCTTGTTCAATGCCAGAGCTACATCGAATATCTAAATGGCCTATTCCTACTCATAATTTGTGTGTTCGTCGCCTTTACACGGCTAATTGTGAAACAGCTGAGTGCTAATTTAACAAGGTTTTACAGGGGTCTCTTGTAAACACTTCGGGAGAAAAAAAGGAACAAGCAACTCCCAGACAAAATCCACCTCAGTGTACTTGATCGAAACTGCAACTAACGTTGGGTTTTATGGTACGTGTGTTGTATCGCGATTGGATTTGCTTTATTTTTGCTGACTGTCACATTTTAACATTTTTATTTTGACCAGATTACTGTCCGCTCAGGTGAAAACTCGGCTTTTTTACAAGGACTGAAGCCCGCAACTGAATATCTGGTCACAGTGATTGCTCAGTATGCAAACAGCATTGGGGAATCTACTGCAGGCAAGGGCAGGACAAGTGAGTATCTTCAGTTGATTCCATTTGGAGTCTTCTTCTCCAGTTGCTGCACCACCAACCCTCTTAGATTTGCCTAAGATCGTTGGACTCAACCCAATGGATGTGGAAACGTTTGATGCTGCCCCAGTAATATATGTTGTCACAAAACACAACTTTGTAGCCTTGTTCGCACCAATATGGGACTTATAAATGTTAAACTGGTTGGATGTATTACCATAGATAAAGCTTGTAATCTCCTGTACATAGAAAATTAAAAGTGATTGAATTGAGAAGCTAAAGATGCTCTAGGCTATGATGTGGTGGATATAAAGGAACTGGTGGAGTCAGTCCAAAACAAGGGGACTTAATCTTAAAATTGGAGCTGGATTGTTCTCAGGTAATAGTGGGAGAAATTCTTAAATAAAGGGTCATGGAGATCTGGGATAACACAAGGTGGAGCTGGAGGAACACAGGAGGCCAGGCAGCATCAGAGGATCAGGAAAGCTGACCTTTCGGGTCGGGACCCTGGACCTGTCCATCTCCAGTTCAGGGAATATACTGTCCACTGGCATCCACTACAAAGACACTGGCTCCCATAGCTACCTCTGCTACAGCTCTTCACACCCCATGTCCTGTAAGGATTCTATCCCGTGGTCCCAGTTCCTTCACCTCTATTGTAATTGTTTGGATGACGCCACCTTTGAAAACAACGCTGCTGACATGGTTTGCTCCTTCCATGACTGTAGTTTCCCGCCCTCAACCACATCCGACCTATCACCCGTGCTTCTGGCCTTGCCCCTTCCCATCATTCACAACAGTGTCCTCACTCTTCATCCCGCCAGCCTTCACATTCAAAGGATCATTGGCTGCCATTTCAGACAACTCCAGCACTAAGCCACCACCAAACACGTCTTTCCCTCACTCCCCGTGTCTGCATTTCACAGGGATCGTTCCCTCCAGGACATTGTAGTCCATTCCACTACAACCAACACCATCCCTCCTTCCCATGGCGCCTTCCCATGTAACTGCAGAAAGTACAATGCCTGCCCCTTCACTTCCTCCCTGCTCACCATCCAAGAGCCCAAACAATATTGTATTCGCTGCACCCAATGTGGGCTACTCTACATCGGAGAAACCAAATGCAGACTAGGTGACTGCTTTGCAGAACACCTGCAGTCCATGCAAAAACATACCCCCGACCTTCCCATAGCCAGTCATTTTAACACAGCGACCTACTCGCATGCCCACTTGTCTGTCCTCAGCATGCTGCAGTGCTCCCGTGAATCACAGTGCAAACTGGAGGAGCAACATCTCGTCTTCAGACTAGACACGTTACAGCCTTCTGGACTTAATATTGAATTCAACACCTTCAAATAGTGAACCCACTCCCATTTCATCCCTTTCTTTTAGCTTTACTTGTTACATTTGCTGTCACTATGTCCTCTCTCCCCTCCCCCCACCCCAATGGGACCGTCTATTTCCAATTCTGGCAGTTAGACACATCATTGTTCCGTCATTCTCACATTCCGATCACTTTTGTCCCCCAGTGCCCCACACCACACGCACCCCCTCCGACTGTAACATAAATGCAAACAAGGAATTAATCCTCACCACCACCCTGGTTGATGGTTGACATAACAGCAGTCATTTTCTTTTGAGATAGTAAGAACTGCCGATGCTGGAGTCAGAGATAACACAGCGTGGAGCCGGAGGAACACAGCAGGCCAGGCAGCATCAGAGGAACAGGAAAGTTGACGTTTCGGGTCGGGACCCTTCTTCAGAAAAATTTCTTCTGCTGGGTATAACAGCATCCATTGTGGGTCTTCTTCCCCAGATCGCAGTGTCTGAGAATCCGGGTACAGCAAGATCAATTCCTTTTTGTCTGGGTGGTCAGATTTGCATCTTACTTTCAATAGGTTTTAATCTGGGCCTCTGTCCCCATGACAATGAGGTCACAGGAGCTATTCTCTGGGCAGATTTTGGATGTTACATCCCCCTCTCTAAACTATCCCATTTACCTTGAATTAGAGACAGTTTAAAACAGAAATCTTCTATTAGTCATACTCCTCTTGTTCTTAAATTCCATAACTGGAGATTCAGAATTTTTCCAATTTTAAATGCAAACCTGACTGTAGTAACCACAAATTGGAAACGACTTGCATTTAAATAGTACCTTTCACCACATTAGGACATCCTAAACTGTAATATACAGCCAATTAATTACTTTTGAATTGTAACAGGAATGTTAAAGATGATATGACTGTTATTTTGTAAAAAGCAATGTCCAACAATGAGATCTGATTGTCTGCTTTTTTTGTGGTGTTGGTTGGATAATTATTTGCCAGGAAACTAGAACCTTTGAAATGATGCTGTGGGATTTTTGAGGGGAGATTGTGCCTTGGTTTGAGAACTTACTGCAGTGTGTTTTGCGGCATTAATGATGTCCTTTGTTAATTGACTTTGTCTTTCAGAAACCCTCCCTGGAGTTTCAAATTTCCGAGTGGCCAAAACTGGACACTTCAGGCTGAAATTGGCATGGAAACCGCCTGCACTTCCTCTGCAGGGATACCGGCTAACCTACAAGATGAGAGGTCAGGGGGAAGTCTTTTAATGTTGAGTGCACAGGACAGGGGAATTCCCAAACCCGTTCCTAACAGGACCCCATTGAAAATTGTCGTGACCCCTCAGAGAGACCTATCAGAGTTGGGGCGGGGTGAGGGGATCTAGGAACTGCCCCTCGAGCCTGTTCTGCCATTCAGTGAGATCATGGCTAATCTGTGGCCCAACTCCACATACCTACCTATGGCCCATATCCCTTAGTACCCACTGGTTAACAAAAAAATTATCCGTCACAGATTTAAAATTAACAACTGGTCTAGCATCCATTGCCACTTGTGGAAGCAAGTTCTAAATATTTGCCGCCATTTGTGTGCAGAAGTGATTTGTAGCCATTTGGCCCCTAATTCTCAGACTATGCCCCCTAGAATCCCTAAACCTGTATATTTTATCTTTATCTATCTTGTCTTTTCATGTGAATAGCTTGAAGAATTCAATCAAATCACCCTTTAGCCCACATTCTCAAAAAAAAGGTCAAATTTGTATAATCTCCCCTCATAACAATCTCTGAAGTCCAGTATCATTCCTGTATATCTACTTTAAACTCCCTCCAGCGTCAGTCTATCCTTCCTAAGATGTGGTGCCCAGAAATGCTCACAGTGCTCCAAGTGGGGTCTAACCAGGATCTTGTATAATTTCAGCATAACTTCCGCATCCTTATTGCAGACCATTTAGAAAGTACCTGGCTCTCTCCTGTTTCAGTGCAAAATGGATTACCTCACACTTGCTTATGCTGGACTCCATTTGCCAGAGCTTTGCCCATTCACTTAGCCTACCAATATCCCCTTGAAATTTTATGCTGTCATTTACACTGTCTACAAGTGCCGACTAACTTTGTGTCATCACCACATTTGGATATATGTCTTTGTATCCCATTTTGGGAATAGCAAAGGAATTTCACGGTTCTTACGAAACACACAAGTTCCATCAGTTTACAGCTGCGGAAGTCAGGGCTCGAGGTTTTGAAGTTTAAACTGTGATTACAATTTGAAATAAATGTGGGGATTAGGAGCTGAAGCTACACGAGGGAGCTCTAGGGCAATCGTCAGCCCCAAAATTCACTGTGAGTCACTACCCTCAACCCTCACTTTGGGAAGCTATGTTCATTATTTTCCCCTTGTTTTTGAACTGATCAAAGAGTTTGCAGAGAAAATCTGGGAACCGTGTGGTAGAACTGGTCAATTTTTAGTCACTTTTGTTAGAGATACTCTTTATTCCTTCGCTAATTGGTAGAATCAATGAGACGTACAGCACAGAAACGGACCCTTCGATCAAACTCATCCACGCCAACCAGATGTCCCACTCTTTAGCGGAGGCACTGGCCTAGTGGTATTATCACTAGCCTATTAATCTAGTAACCCAAATAATGTTCTGGGGACCTAGGTTCAAAACCCACCACAGCAGATGGAGGAATTTGAATTTAAAAAAATCCTGGAATCAATTTGTCTCATGAATCCATTGTTGGAAAAACCCATTTGGCTCATTAATGTCCTTTAAGGAAGGAAATTGCTATCCTTAACTGGTCTATCCCACATGTGACTCCAGACCCACAGCAATGTGGTTGAGTCTTAACTACCCTCTGGGTAATTAGGGATGGGCAATAAATGCTGCCTAGCCAGTGACACCCAATCTCCTGTGCATGAATAAAAAAGCAACCTAGTCCCATTTGGTGCATATCCCTCTAAAACCTCCCTATTCATATACCCATCCAAATGCCTTTTAAATGTTGTAATTGTATCACTGTCCAGCACTTCCTCTGGCAGCTCATTCCATACACGCACCACCCTCTGTGTGAAAAAGTTACGCCTTAGGTCCCTTTTCAATCTTTCTCCTCTCACCTTAAACATATGCCCTCTAGTTTTGGACTGCCCCACCCCAGGCAAAAAGACCTTGACTCCAGCAGACTCACTGGTCCATAGAAAATAAAAACTGAAAGAGCTGCAGATGCTGTGAATCAGGAACAAAACCGGAAGTTGCTAAAAACAGCTCAGCAGGTCTGGCAGCATCCGTGAAGAAAAAATTAGAGTTAACGTTTTGGGCCTGGTGACTCTTCATCAGGAAGGGTCACCGGAACCGAAACGTTAACTGTGATTTTTTCTTCAAAGATGCTGCCAGACCTGCTGAGCTTTTCCAGCAACTTCTGCTTTTGTCACTGGTCTATAGTGCTGGAGAAACTCAGTAGGTCTGGCACCACCTGATGAAGAGAGAAACAAATTTAACACTTTTAACTCGTTTTTGGAGCTGGAAAATGTTGGTTTTTATGACGTAGCACTGGGGGAGGAGGAGCAAGTGGGACAGATGGTGAATGTGCCCAGGGCAAAATACAAAGGGAATGTTAATTTTGGTAAGTGCAGCAGATGGGAATCCTTAGTTGAGGATAAAGGAGGTCATGACAAGGCACCATGGTGGCATAATCAGAATAGATGTGAGAAAGATGGAGAAACATGGGAAAACAGAATGGAATCCTTGCAGGAAGCAGGTCGAGGTAACTGTGGGAGTCGGTGGGTTTGTAGTGGGTATTGGTGATGAGCCTATCCCCAGAAATGGAAACAGAGAAGTCAATGAAGGAAAGGAAAGATGGGCCAGGTGAAGATGGGAGAAGGATGGAAATTAGAAGAAACATGATGACTGTTTCCAATTCTAGATGCGAGTAGGAAACAGCACCGATGATATAATTCATGATACAATGGGAGAAAAGATTGTGAGTGGGGATCTGAGTTGGACTGGATTGAGGAATGGTCCACATGCCCCACAAAGTGACAGGCATAAATAGCCGTACCTTTGACTTGGAGAAAGCGAGACAAATTGGAGGAAAAGTTGAGAAAGACCTCAGCCCAGGAGAATGAGGGCAGTGGTGGATGGAGACAGTTCCTGTCCAAGGATGAAGTGGAAAACCTTCAGACCATCCTGATGGGGGATGGACGTGTAGAGGGATTGCTCATCCATGGGGAAGAGGAGGTGGCTAGGACCAGGAAATTGAGGAACTGATGTAATGCATCAGAAACATCACAAATGGAAGTGAGGAGAGACCAAATGGAGTAGGGGCACTGGGGATGGGAGCGGGTGGGAGTGGCACAAAATAGATAGAGTCAAGATAGGAAGGAGTGAGTTCATTGAGGCACCAACAGGCTGGATATGCCAAGGCAATCCTGTTTGTGGATTTTGGGAGGGAGGTAGATTTCAACAAGGCCGTCGCTAAGATCCTACGTGAGAGACTGATAAAGTAAAAGTTCACAGGATCCAGGGTAACTTGGCAAGATAGACCTAAAATTGGTTTAGTGACAGAAGACAGAGGGTGGTGGTCGAAAGCTGTTTGTGTGATTGGAAACAAGTGTCCAGTGGTGTACCATGGGGACCAGTGCTGGGTCCCTATTGATTTTGATATATATAAATGACATAGATGAGAATGTTGGGGGGAATGAGAAGTAAGTTTGCAGATGATGCCATGATTGGCCGGGTGGTTAATAGTGAGAAAGGAGTTCTTAGGTTGTAGGAAGATATAGATGGGTTGGTCAGGTGGACGGACCAGTGGCAGATGGAATTCAACATCATGTGAAAAGTGTGAAGTGATGCAGTTTGGAAGGGAGAAGGTGACTAGTGAGTGGTAAATAAGTGGCAAGACATGAGGAAGCTCGCAGGAACATTGGAATCAGTTCTGAGGAAGGGTCACGAGACCCCGAAACATTAACTCTGATTTCTCTTCACAGATGCTGCCAGACCTGCTGAGCTTTTCCAGCAACTTCTGTTTTTGGTTCCTACAACAATTGGTAACATTGCCTTTTACATTAGCACTTTCCATCCTAGATTTATTATTTAAATTTCATCATGGAAAGATTTAGAACCCATGTGCCCTAGAGGAGTGGTCTGGACTTCTGGGTTATTAACCCAGTGTCTTAACTACAACACCATCTTCACCCTCTGTCATATTTTACTGGGTGGGCACCGTACCAACAGAGGAAAAGTCTGTATGATTCTTTTTGTGTAGCTCCAGTCTTTTCGAATCTAAAGCAAAAGGAAACAAATAAAAAGGACAGGGAATGTTTTCTTTTCCGTTGTTTGAACAGAAACCTTGACTGATTCTTTCAGGAGGCAAGGCTCAATTATCCAGGGTGTGTGCAAACACTGTGAGTGCCCCGGATTGATCTCTTGCCAAAGGAAAGAACTGATTCATTAAAAAAGTCAAAAGTCTTCAGGTTCACCATTTACTGCATCTGTGCCAGGTGTCACAGAGGTGCAGAGTTTAAACAAGAAATGTACACCTCCAATACAAAGCATCGTTTCACTACTGATTGATATTTTGCCGACATTTCAAACAAAACCTCATTATGTGCAATCTGTTGGAGCTCTCTTTCTCCAGAATAAAGCTTTATTTGAGGGTGGAATGTCAGGAAACTCTGTTTCAGATGTTCTCGTTCACTCCTGTGGTCATTTGTACCGTCTTGTGATCTAGTCAGTGTTTTTTCTATTAATTTGATGGGGAGGTGATGGCCTAGTGGTGTTACTGCTGGACTGTTAATTCAGAGACCAGATAATGTTCTGGGAACATGGGTTTGAATCCTGCCATGGCAAATGGTAGAATTTGAATTTTAAAAAAAATCTGGAATTAAGAGTCTAATGATGATCATTGCCAATTGTTGGGGGGAAAACCCATCTGGTCACTAATGTCCTTTAGGGAAGGAAACTGCCATCCTTACCTGGTCTGGCCTACGTGTGACTCCAGACCCACAGCAATGGAGTTGACTCTTAACTGCTCTCTGGGCATTTAGGGATGGGTAATAAATGCTGGCCTAGCCAGTGACGCCCTCATCCCCTGAATTGATGAAAATGAAATTAGTTCATGGTGTGCCGTCTGGATCAGCATTTATTACCCGTCCCTAATTGACCTGGAGAAGATGGTTACGGTGAGCTGCCGCCTTTATCTGTTGCATTCCTTGGGATGCGAGAGAAGGAGCTCAAGGATTTTGACCCGACAACT